CCATTCAACTAAATGACAAGAGAACTGTCCTCTACATTTTGGCAACTTGATAATTTGGGTATTGGTCATGTTTTGCGAGGACATTTTTCAAATTGTCTGATGGTTGGAACTCTTTATGTTTTACACCATTTTGCAGATGGTACGTACAGTTTGTATGTTCCAAAGGATCATCATTACATTGTGATTCTTTGGTGACATGTTTTCTCATTCTGTGTTACTTCTCTGAATCCACATGTTTTCTCATTCAGTGTTACTTCTCTGAAACCACTTGTTTACTCAATCAGTGTTACTTCTCTGAAACCACTTGTTTACTCATTCAGTGTTACTTCTCTGAAACCACTTGTTTACTCATTCAGTGTTACTTCTCTGAAACCACTTGTTTACTCATTCAGTGTTACTTCTCTGAAACCACTTGTTTTCTCATTCAGTGTTACTTCTCTGAAACCACTTGTTTACTCATTCAGTGTTACTTCTCTGAAACCACTTGTTTTCTCATTCAGTGTTACTTCTCTGAAACCACTTGTTTTCTCATTCAGTGTTACTTCTCTGAAACCACTTGTATTTGATTGATAGATACCAGTATAGTGCGTTCTGTAGAAAATCTCACATTTTGGGATGTATCAGCAGATACCACTGGGTGATTATCAAAAACAAAAACTAAAAATTTGCACCAAAAATTTTATCTGAGAAACACATGGCCACCAGCTGGCCATTTTGAATGTCAAAACAAAATGATCAGTAACACACAATGACATGAACAAACGTTGATTGTTGGTGTTTTTTGGAAAAAAATTGCCACCAGTTGGACAAGTGCCCAGAAAACAAAAATAAATACTAGTATACCATTTTGATGTTTCTTTGTATCAACTTTGAATCAAATCACCCAATGCATGTCTGAAATTTTATATTGGACAGACACACGCACGCACACACGAAACCCAAAACATAAGCCCCCTCTTCAGACAACCAAGAATAAACAACATCTTATTATATTGCCCCCTGCCTACCTACTCCATAGTTATTCAACCTCTAATAACACAGACCTATATAGTTGATGAGAAGACATTCTCCGCTTCGGGTTAGTACATCAAATTCGTAATTTTATTCCCAGTCAACATGTTATAATATCCAAATGTTGCTCTAAGACCTCATGTTACGTCAGAAACCTGTTATTTAATTTACAGTTACAAGTACTCTCCATTCAAATATGAAATATTAATATCTCATAAATAATCATAACAATAATGCCGCAATATAGACTGCCTACTTCAGTCATAAGTGAAAAATAGAAATGGTATATACGCTGTGCTGTATAAGTCTGATTTAATACGATGTAATAAATTGGCAGAATGATTGATTGATCAAAGTTAATAATGCTTGTCCTTAATAGACAGAAGAGAAACATTTATTTTGAATGTTTGAATGAGTATCAATTCCTTGATTACCATGGTAACATACTCACGTCATCATTTCTCTTCAAAAGTTCTAGTTCGGTGCACTTTATGATGAACTCGATTACAACTAACATGTAAAGCAGCAGGGTGATGAACCAAAAAAGGGGAAAGACAGAGAGAGAAGCTCAGAAAATGTCACAACCACAATGTACATTCATCAACGTATACTGTATGTATGTGCAATCATCACCCTATCTGATTTTAAAGTAATCTTAGAAAACTGCTCATCTACTGCTTCTTTTAAGATTCCTGAATGCCAGACTGTCTGGAACCATATCTATACTCAAATTCAGTACTTATTGTATCAATTATTGTTAAATAATTTTTTTATTTTTTCATGTATGACCAAATAAGTGACTGAAGAAAGTCATTCTACATCAATCACTACAATGTATAAGACACTACAAGACATAAATGTTACAATTCTGTCTTTTAAAAAAGAAATACACAACTTAGATATCATAAATAACTAAATAAATGTTTATATGTTTGATTGTATTGTATAAAAATATGAAATTTGATTAGGTTATCTCTAATTGGGTACATAGAACTCATGATAGATGATATATATATATTAATACACAGAATAGAATAATTTTGCTTAAATTAAATGTTATACATCAAAATGTTATTTTCTTTAAAATATTTCTTTGCACTTCCTCCTAAATTAGGACATTTAATATTATTAATACCCATTTTATTTCATGAGGCAAATTATTTAATGGCATTGGCAAAGACAGAACATATATTAAGTGTTGTAAGCGGATACATGTAAATTTAAAATGAAGTTTGCTGAAGTGTATTAACTAGGTGATTTACAATGAGCATGCATCAATTAAAAATAATTCTCATGACATTGACCTTTTCATCACCAGTTCCTTCTTTTCATCACAAATTCACAAAAGATTGGGACAAAAATATCCAAATTTGTTGAGTAAAAACTGAAACATGACTCAAATTTTGTCTGTTGGCTCCAAAATTTGGGCAAGAAAGTTTGGCGATGAAAATTTACAGTAAGATCATTGAGCATATTGTCTCTATGGTTATGGAATTATACAATCTAAAATTAATTGCATACATCTATTTTGAATAAATTGCATTGAATATAAGAATTGACTTTGGCACAACGGACCAAACATTTGTACAGTGATCATGCACCTTGGGGTACATCAATAATAATTTCACCTTTTTTAGATAGTGTTTCATTTATCAAAGCAAACTAAAATTGATTAGACAAACAGTATTCCAAATATTCTACAAATTTCACACAATTTAGTGTCGAAATGTTTTTGTTTTTTTTGAGATTCGGATACAACTACCGGTACCATATAATGGTATAAATCATGCAAATTTGTACTGGGACGTAACAGACTGGGCTCAGTAGAATGACCCTTTCTAAAGCTAGACTGAAAAACAACAAATAATTGGTTAAAATACACTGAATTGTCAACGTTAATATAAAAATTGATTTTAAGTGATATTCATGGATGAACTTACATATTTACTTGAATTGAAAGAATAGACCTCAGATGCTAAGTAATGGTTGCCAAAATCTCATTGAGAGGGAGAGAGTCACTTGACTCGTCTTTGCCCCCAAATAATGTCTTATTCTCATCTGTTATCACGTCCACAGTTCCTCTGACACATTCAACTACTGTATTTGAAATATAAGTGGAGTGAAAATATTTGACCGTCAAAAACAAGTCCTCACGACTATTTGCATCTTAGGTCTACTGAAAATGATACAGAAGTGTCTTAATCTTTGTCAATAATTGTGAATACTTTGCATCTATTATAGGGGAGAGACATTGAATTTGATCACAAGAACATTAACACAATTATGGTTGCCTTTGAACTAAATTTGAACTGAATAAGTGAGAGTATCTGCTTGACAGAGAAATTGGTAGTATGCATCAATTTAAAATCAAATCATGAAAATAAATGAGCCATCAGTAATACCCACCATGAGTAAAGACAACACCAATTTTAAATAAATTGGACAAGGCACAACATAGAAGTAGTTGATGACATGTTGAAAATATAAATGAGCCATCAGTAATACCCACCATGAGTAAAGACAACACCAATTTTAAATAAATTGGACAAGGCACAACATAGAAGTAGTTGATGACATGTTGAAAATATAAATGTATATGTAAACTTTTATGTTGTGTTTTTGTACAAACTTACAATAAAATTGGTCAAAGCAAATCCATATCTTTTTGTTGTTGTTGATTCATTGACTGATTTGCTTACCATGGCTGTTCCACAGGATTATAAATAATCTCTGGTATATGGTAAAAACAACTAAATAGCCCTAAAAATGGAATCATCAAATGGGGATTTTTATTCATTTCCATTCATTGCACATCAGGTAAATGTATTCACAACACAGAGAAAAGACTTCCGAACAAAAAACATTAAATCTCATTTTAATATGAATTGTAAATTCAAACCTAAACTTGTCTAAACAAAACACCAAAATGATCCAGAAATTTGTTTATTTTTTTGCCTTGGGCTGCACATGAAATTGGCAAGACATATTTGACTGATGAGCTGGCAGTGTGCAGAGTTATGTCCATTTAAAACGCATGCTTACACACAATGGCAATGCAGAGCATTTACGTCATAATCTCTTTACAAATGCCAAACACAAATGAAAGCACATTTATCCATTCAATGGTTGTGCTTTTCGAAACATCCATACAATTATTCAGTACATTGGAGGGGGTGGGTGTTATTTAGTTTGTTGAAGATAAAAAACTGAGATGGAATACTGGGTAAAAAACAAAAAAAATACCTTCCGGTCTTAGGTCAAATTACTCCAAGGGTTGATAACTCACAAACATGATGTTTCCAGCTTTATTTTTAGATTTTCAAATCGACAGTCACCAGGAATAATTCGGCAAAACTTCAGGAAATTCTGGTGTCAAGAGCATTAGCCTTGTCTATTCTTGAGTGTATTGTAGTAGAGGTACACATGCGATCTTTAGCTCAATGTACACACTACTCAGAGTAATAAACCACTCTATTTAAAATTGACGCAAGTCGACTGAAGCATCGTCATCAAGCTGCCAGTCACATCACAGACTCAAGTGGTTTGAAAAAAAAAATACTGAATGATGAGAAGAAAATGCCACTGTAAGAATGTCACAAATACCTGGTTCTGACAGGCAATAATGTAAACACCAGACTACTTACAGACATAGCACACAATTGAAATAAAAAGGTCAATACTATAGTGACAAATGTGATGATTGAAACAAAACCCCGTCAAGTTCATGGACTGAGTTCCCCATTAAAATACAATTTAAGCTTTAGATGTCAGATTTAGTTTTTACCAAAAAAAAAAAAAAAAAAATCACAACATGGGGCATTTAAAGTACAGTGACGCACTTTGTCACCTGGTCATCGAAGAGAAATTGATTTCTCTTCTTTGAATTAAGGAGCATACACGACCTGCATATTAATTCATCTCAACCTTAAATTTATTATTTCTATTATCGCAATAAGACACTCTTATACAAAATAAATTACAAAGAAAGCTTTCCAAGTTCAAATTCTCATTTTATTTAGTAAATATAACATGATAATTAATTAATCATTCTATTCTATTACAAAATTTGGGAATGTCATACACAGAAATAATCGTCCATCTGTTTTTCGTCAAAATTTCTCAACCTACTTTATAAAGATATAAAAACAGTTTCCATGACAACCATTTAACATGCTTCCTCCTCAATAAAACTCTTCATCATCATTTTTGGATCCAGCTTTGGTGTTATTCATAACTTGGTCCTGTTTCCTGTACATGTCTGCAACCTGAAAATCAGAAAATAACACTAATTAAAAGGCCACTTAATGTTTTATCTCTCCTCGTTTAGGAAGGGGCACTCAATTTCATATTTAGTTTGTGGCTCACTTTAGGCACTTACTGAAGCACTGAAGCGTCCAAATACACGGTTGTTATTAGCTTCATAAATTATTCAGTTTATAAGAACACAATGTTGATAAAATCCACATTTTAATCACTGGATATCACTGATCTGGCTTTAAAAAGAAAAAAAGGATGTAAAAACAGTGGTGGATCACTTCCTGTAGATCAATCTGTTTTTGTATCTATATTCTGTGAAGGTACAATAGACAAACATGAATTGGGTCTTATATTTGTGATGAGACAGACGTCATCAATGGCGTAGGTGTCACCATGGTGACTGATAACTGATGTTATGGACACTTGCATACTTCAATTGTAGCTACTGTAACAAACAGATTTAATGTTGGACTCAACCATCCTGGGTAAGAGGGGGGTCCGACCAAACAAATCAAAGGGGAAAAGTGGGTCGCATTATTAAGTGATGGTGTTGGAGATGAATCTTTAGTCAATACAGAGGGCAGCCTTATCCTCCTTAAAATAACAGGATTTTAAAATAATCCATAACGACAGCCCACATCTTTACAATTGTTATCATGGCATACGTTAATATAAGCTGTCAAGAACAGAGAAGACATACAATTTTGGTTTCAACCCTGAGGCCTGGTTACAGACATAAACAAAACGTAATTTCTAAGATTTACAGTCAATGGCATTCCTATTCATGAGACTACTTAGAAAGGCTGAGCACCATACGTACTGTAAAATGTGTTAATTATTCACTGGGTTTTAATTCTGCTTATTTTGCTGACTAAAAAAGTGTGCTAAATTAAAACCCAGTGAATATGTAAAATGGAGCATAGAA